ACCAGCAGTTAGCGTAATGGCTATGTCGCTGGACTCCCATGTAGTAGACCGCGGTTCATGTCCTGGACCCGGTGGCTTAAAACTCACACCGGATGCGTGTGCGTGCGAGCCCAAGATTCCTAGAGGAGAATGGAGGAGAAGCGATTGCGGCGTGACCATCCCCCCTGGGGGTGATTTCTCGCTTTCTGTCTCTATGTTTCTCTGTCTGTTGGCGAACGCATGCGCCCTACAGCGAAAATCCCCCCCCCCCCAAAAAAAAAACCCAAAAAACCAAAAAACAAAAACCTAAAAAAATGGCCGACTTAATCATAGGGACAAGTCTGGAGTTGAACATTATAATCCAGAATTTAATTGGGAAGATCGAACCACAACAGAAGATAGATTAAGTACATGAGACTGAACTGGTGAAACAGCATTTTATGACTTTTGACTAAAACATTGCTGATTTTTTTCTAGACTTTGTTTTCTGGTTTTAAGGATTTCTGTCCTGTCTTGAGCTGCCAATAGGTTCATGAACCTACTATTTGAACAGAATCCTAATCTGTTTCCTGGCTTTAAAATTTAAGCAAAGTTCCTTACCATTTCTTTGATTTATTAAAACTAAAACTGCTTTTCTTGAAATTTAAATTACCAGGTGAACTTGCTATTGAAAGTAGTTAGATTATTTAATAAGTTGTGTGATCAATAAGATGTGGGGGAAAAAGGAATGGAAAACAACCGTAAAAGTGTGAGAAGAGGGTAGGAAAGGGCATATATATATATATGAGAGACTAGAAATGGCAAATTATTGACAATAACATGCATGATTAAGCCACTATGCAGTATATTCTGGATGGGAAATCACATTTTGTATACTGTGACAATGCCTAGGGAATGAATGTAATTAATTCATTTAAAAAATGTTTCAAAAAAACCAAAGCTCATGGAAATATGTGTAATGGGAAACTATGTATGAATTTCAAAAAGTTTTTGTACCAAAATAAATTAAAAAAAAAAAAAGTATTTAATAGGTGGGACCTGTAGTTGTAATGGCTATGTTGTGGGACTCCCATGTAGTTGACCACAGTTAAAGTCCTAGATCCGGTAGCTTAAACTCATGCCAGGCGAGTGTGCATGCATGACCAAGATCCCGAGAGAATAGAGAAGGCTGCGGCATGGCCATCTCCCCTGGGGGGTGATTTCTCACTTTCTGTTTCACTGTCTCTCTTTCTGGTGAGCACATGCACCCTATAGCAAAAGTCTCTCAAAAAAAAAAAAAAAAAAAAAAAAGAAAGAATATTTAATAGAAAAGTATTTAACAAAAATTTCTAATTGCTTTTTTAAAAGGAATTATTTATTTAATTTTATTTATTCATTTATTATCACTTTTAAAATTTGATCAGAGTGAGACATTGGGGTGGGGGGAGAGAGAGAGAGAGAGAGAAAGTGTGAAAGCAAGCCACCAGGTCCAGGACTCAAACTGTGGTTGGCCATGTGGGAGTGTCCAGCGCCTTAACCAGCACACCACCTGCTGGTCTCCTCTAATCACTTCGAATGTGGGCCTAATTAAAACAGAATTTATGGGTGAAGTTTTTTTTACTTCTCTTAAACATATAAAGTGTATACAGGAATAAAGACTGGAAATAAATTGCTGAATAAAAAATACCTCTTATGTAAATATAAACAGCATTTTTATCTAACAAATTATTTTCACTCCATCTTTAAACCTACCTGTAATGTACATTTGCTTGTAGATGCTAGTGGTAGAGACAAATACATAAAGGCCTCAAATGTCCTAGACTTTTTATGACAGGTGAGGCACTGGACTGTGGATTTGAACTGACCCTGAAAAAGCGCAACAATAATAGATTCGTTGAGCTGCTTGTGTTTCTGCCAAGCATGTTCTGCAGCTTTATAGTCATCAAGATGGTCGTTATTTTCCTCTTTATGCCTCTTCAATATCTGCCTGAAAGTAAGATTATTTAAGATTTATATTAGTACCTCAGAGGCAACATTTAATATCAAATTGAAAGATAAAATGAAATACAAACACTGCAGGTTTACAAACACTTGCAGTTCTCAAAAAGGAGTTCTTACCACATTAAGTGCTATAAAATATTAATTCTTGCCTCTCCCCTAAAAAACCCCCCACCAAACTCCACTCTATCAAAAATAAGGGAATGACCTGCTGAAATTTTACAAAATTTTTGCAACAAGCTGAAAAGTCTAGTTTTAAAAAGCATTCAGGAGACTGGCAGGTAGCGTGGTGGTTAAAGGCACTGGATTCCCATACGGCAGGCTGCGGTTTGAGTTCCAAACCTGGCAGCTTGCTTTCTCGCTTTCTCTCTCTCTCTTTTTCTCTGTCTGGGCAAATTAAAAAAAAAACAGTAATAACAAATGGAATTAAATAAATAATTTAAAAAAATCATTCACATGTAGCTTGAATTAGGGCTATGACTAGACAAAGATAATTTAATTGTCCTGGCCAACAGGTACACATTATACACCTACATACACCTGCAGTATTATCCACACGAGTATGTATACATACATTGTGTGTGTGTGCGTGTGTGTGTGTGTGTGTATGTGTAGGTTCAATAGTAAGAATGGTGCTCACAAAGGTATCTGAAAGACAGATCACAGCCTGGTGCCAAAACAGAGCTGCAGTATATAAATGGAAGGTGGTCATTTATGTAGATATGTGCCGCAACGGTAATGAGTTTTTTTTTTTTTGAGAGGTTTTTGCTATAGGGCGCGTGCACTTGCCAGAAAGACAGAGAGAGACAGAGAGACAGAAAGCGAGAAATGACCCACTAGGGGGGATGGCCACACCTCAATCCCTTTTCCTCCAGTCTCCTCTCAGGATCTTTGGCACACACGCACATGTACCCGGCGTGAGTTTAAGCCACTGGGTCTAGGACTGGAACCGTGGTCGACGACATGGGAGTCCAGCAATGTAGCCATTACGCTATCTGCTGGTCCTGGTCCCATCAATGAGTTATTTTTATAAAGTTGGAAGAAAAAGGCCACACTATGTATGATATATACATACTATGTAATAAACATCATATATAAATATGCAATAATATACATATTGAATAACAGAAATGTTCAAGTGGCTTTCAGCTAATTTTTTACAAACTCATTTAGTTCATAATTTTGCTATATATGTATGTACATATATATACACACACACAGATATATATGTGGGTCACAAATAGTACCTCCAAAACTATTTTAACCCTTGTAAATTTCTCAACAATACTACCTGCTAACATTTTAGTAAGTAAATATATACCTCTTATCAAATATTACACTTATAATATATATACTGGGCCATTGGGAAAGTCATGACACATTTTTACATACAATATACGTAATGGCTTTCCTGACAACCTAATATTTACTTTATAGTTCCATGCCTTAGCATAGTCTCTCTATTTGAATAAAGCAGCACTGGATAAACACCAAGAAGAACTTCGGACTATAAAAATGATTATAGTGTGACTGAGCAACCCTACAGAGACTCTGCAATAAAAAAAAAAAAAATCCATTTCTTACTTTATTTAGATCTTCATGGAGACCATCCATTAGGAAGAGGAGCAGTTCTTGGGAATCTTGCTGGCTGTATCCTGCAAACTGGTCATTGATCTTCCCAATGGTGATTTTAAAGTCCTTTGGACTGATATATCTATACTGTCCTGTCCACAAGGCTTTCATGATTATACCAAATTCTTCTGCCACTTCACCTTTATGCCCCAACAAATTTGACCTGTACAAATAAAACTAAAGTTACAAAAAAGCAATATAAGATTTTTTTTTTTTAACTTCCATAGTTGTGTGTGCTCATCAGAGACAGAGAGACCCACCCAAAGGAGCATGGTTATGCCACAATCCCTCTTCCCATCAGGATTGTGGGCATGCACACTGCACACATATGTGCCTGGTGTGTTTCTCAAGGTGCCAGCGCTGGGACTTGAACTGCAGTCAGCCATGTGAGATTCAGCTCCACATGCACAGCACTTAACTGCCGCACTACTGGGTTGGCTAAAAGGAAATTTAAGTTACAGTGGGTTCTTGCTGTCAACACTAATCTATTCACATACCGTAACCCCATATTCATACGTTTATTATCAAATACTCCTACTTTGCTCCCATAATTCTAGCTCACTTCTTTCTCTTGGCTATCTATCACCCCTGCACAATTTCCTACCCCACAACAGGCTCCAGTTCATTATTGATGTCTATATTATTTGTAAGAACAAAGATATTTTTCCCAGCCTATTAGGGGTGGCAGAATGCTCTGCAATGCTGAAAGTCATTCGGAAGGTCCAGGTTTGGTTCCTACATTGACCTACACATGCCAGGTGCACAAAGATTTATCAGTGATCCTGGCTGATGAAAAGGCCAAGGAGATCTCAGTGAGAGATACCACCGAGGGGGCTTATCTCTCTCATAAAAAAGGAAACAAAACCAAAACAAAATGGAAAAAAAAATTTTCTCTTTAACTGGACTTCTCTGGAGCTGGGTGGTAAATGCTATGGTTTGAAAGTGTCCCATCTAAAATTCAGGTGTTGCCAATGGGATGGAATTAAGAGGTGGAGCCTTTAAAAGGTGATTAGACAATGAGGGGCATTCCTTCATGAATGGGATCATATGTTGTCATAAAAGGTCATGATAGAGGAGTCTCTCTTTTACCCTTGCCCATCTACCTTCTGGTATGTGATAAATAGCAAAAAGGATCTCACCCTGATATTGGACTTCCCAGCCTTCGGAAGTATGAGAAAATAAATTTCTGTTCTTTATATGAATAAATTATCTAGTCTCAGGTATTTTGTTACAGATGGTTATGTGCGGTTAGATCATCCTTTCAACATCTTATTGCAAAAAGAAACTTAGTCACCTGTTAATGTCATCCTGATAACAGTTTCGGTTGAAATAATCAGCCAGATGTGGAGCATTACATAGGCACTGCAATATTGAGTTCATGTAACAAGTATTTCCCAGATTACGAAGTCCAGTAAGAGCTGGTCCAGATCCTCCAAATACAGGATTAAGGTTCCGAATCTGAGAAGCAGAAAGCCTTGAGATCTCAGCTTTAGGGTAGCATGTTGGCCTGAGAAAGAAAAGGTATATGAGATAGATGTCTTAGAAAGCACAGTATGTGAAATTAAGGTTTCTATTACCCTAGCACTCACACCACGGTTATCCTGTAAATGGGTAATATGTTAACTCAGCGACCAGCAGATGGCTAATGATTGTATCACTGGACTCCCATGTAGTCAATTGTGGTTCGAGTCCCGGACCTGATGGCTTAAAACTCACACTGGGTTGGGAACCAGCAGTTAGCGTAATGGCTATGTCGCTGGACTCCCACGTAGTCGACCGTGGTTCGTGTCCCGGACCCGGTGGCTTAAAACTCACGCTGGGCGCGTGTGCGTGCGTGCCCAAGATCCCGCAAGGAGAATGGGGGAGAAGGGATTGCAGCGTGACCATCCCCCCTGAGGGGTGATTTCTCGCTTTCTGTCTCTATGTCTCTGTCTGTCTGGCGAGCGCACGCGCCCTAC